ATTTGTTTTGAGTGGAAAACCTATGGCAATTTGCTCCACAACTCCTGGCCTAGCATTCGGCTGTTATCTGGTGAAGAAAAGTGATGCATTTGGTATGATACAAAATTTAGATTGACCCTATTTATTTTCTTACGTTTTGTTTTTTATCGACAAAAAGCCCCTGCGATATGTTAAGTACACTTGAATATCATTGTTTACGGTGTCCATCCACGTAGCAAACATTAAATTGCTTGACTAATCTCATTTGTTTCAAGCTGAACACCCTTCATTAGGTGTTCAACTTGAAACAAATGATACTTTTCAATGTGTGGTGCATTTGGTATGATACAAAATTTAGATTGACCCATTTATTTTTGACAGTTATGTTTTTTCGACAAAAAGGCCCTGCGATATGTTTTGTTTCCAGCAGAAAAACTTGAAAGGGCGATCTCCCTTGCCAAGTATTTAGCCGTTTCAATTGGATGATTACGCAAAACCGTCATTAACTCCAACTTCGTGGACGTCCTATTGAAATGTATGATACAGAATTAACATTCGTTTCTCAAGGATGTCTACAAACTAAACTTAGTGATGGTTTTGAGTAACGGCCCCTCGTTGTTAAAGTTCTGCCTTCTGGTGCACTTGATAAGATACACAATTTAGTTTGACACCATTTTTTGTTCTAATTTTATGGGTTTTTTTTAACGACTTTAATATACTAGCCACTGCGATATGTTAATTCTATAGAAAATCTTAGTATAAGGTGTCCATCAACTACATCGACCTCAACATGTGCTCCATCAATTACACTTGCTAATATTTCAATTATAATTAATTGCTTCATTTGTTTATACATTTCTTATAGGGTTATATATGAGCGACGTGTAGGTTGACGTCGAACAATGGGCAGAGGTAATACATACACGAAACTGGACACATGGGACCGATGTATATTTAGGAACAAGGAATGACGACTTATTATCGCACATGTGTAAATATAATTAAAGAGTATTAAGAAGTGATCGTATCCATACTAATTTAAGGGGAGTCTATCCTTATTGTAAGGATAAGAGGACGTTTTGTGGGCAAATACGAAGATTTCAAAATGTAAAATGTCGCCATTTTGTACGGACAGAGGGTCCGAGCTTACGAACGATGCGAGCAACTTCCACTCCAAAAGTTAATCGACATCGGTATGTATTTAGCTGGCTGCTGACCCATCTAAAAGTCCTCAAGTTACTATTTTACCATATTTTTAAAGCTTAATAAATTTCCTTTCATAATTTTTAGCTACTTTTGGGGCCTTCGGAAAAAATTGTGGAATTTAAGACGAAAATCAAAACTTCAAATTTCCAAAAAAAAGTCATCGTTCTAACTACTGATTTTTATAATTTTTTCCCACTTTTTTGAAAAAATAAAGATGATATTTCCGTGATTTTAACTTTTAACTCTTCAAAACAAAAACAATCATTTGAAAATCTCATTTTATAACAGAGCTACGAGCATTTCAAAACGAGTCTTCATTTGCGACTTCTGAGGTTTTGTAGCCACACATGCTAATATACTGTTAGTGCCAATTCTCACAGTGAGCTATTTGACCCATTCAATTAACCCCACATTCCATTAAAGGTGGTCATGGCAACAGGCCTCCAAGGCCACTATACTTACAAGAAGCTGTATGCAATATACCATATGTACATACTCTCATAGAAACCGGTTTTGTACACTACTATTCTATTGTACAATCTTTCTGAGGCCATCTTAAACTATAATACTTTCGATCATTTTCTCTTATGTTATTCATTGTTTTTCTTCTCTCTTTCCTCTTATTATTCTATATTTTCCTTCTATTGATCATCTTCTCTTATGTTATTCATTGTTTTTCTTCTCTCTTTCCTATTATTATTCTATATTTTCCTTCTATTGATCATCTTCTCTTATGTTATTCATTGTTTTTCTTCTATCTCTCCTCTCATTATTCTATATTTTCCTTCTATTGATCATCTTCTCTTATGTTATTCATTGTTTTTCTTCTATCTCTCCTCTCATTATTCTATATTTTCCTTCTATTGATCATTTTCTCTTATGTTATTCATTGTTTTTCTTCTCTCTTTCCTCTTATTATTCTATATTTTCCTTCTATTGATCATCTTCTCTTGTGTTATTCATTGTTTTTCTTCTCTCTTTCCTCTTATTATTCTGTAGTTTCCTTCTATTGATCATTTTCTCTTATGTTATTCATTGTTTTTCTTCTCTCTTTCCTCTTATTATTCTATATTTTCCTTCTATTGATCATCTTCTCTTATGTTATTCATTGTTTTTCTTCTCTCTTTCCTCTTATTATTCTGTATTTTCCTTCTATTGATCATCTTCTCTTATGTTATTCATTGTTTTTCTTCTCTCTTTCCTCTTATTATTCTGTATTTTCCTTCTATTGATCATCTTCTCTTGTGTTATTCATTGTTTTTCTTCTCTCTTTCCTCTTATTATTCTATATTTTCCTTCTATTGATCATCTTCTCTTGTGTTATTCATTGTTTTTCTTCTCTCTTTCCTCTCATTATTCTATATTTTCCTTCTATTGATCATCTTCTCTTGTGTTATTCATTGTTTTTCTTCTCTCTTTCCTATTATTATTCTATATTTTCCTTCTATTGATCATCTTCTCTTATGTTATTCATTGTTTTTCTTCTATCTCTCCTCTCATTATTCTATATTTTCCTTCTATTGATCATTTTCTCTTATGTTATTCATTGTTTTTCTTCTCTCTTTCCTCTTATTATTCTGTAGTTTCCTTCTATTGATCATCTTCTCTTATGTTATTCATTGTTTTTCTTCTCTCTTTCCTCTTATTATTCTGTATTTTCCTTCTATTGATCATCTTCTCTTATGTTATTCATTGTTTTTCTTCTCTCTTTCCTCTTATTATTCTATATTTTCCTTCTATTGATCATCTTCTCTTGTGTTATTCATTGTTTTTCTTCTCTCTTTCCTATTATTATTCTATATTTTCCTTCTATTGATCATCTTCTTTTATGTTATTCATTGTTTTTCTTCTCTCTTTCCTCTTATTATTCTATATTTTCCTTCTATTGATCATCTTCTCTTATGTTATTCATTGTTTTTCTTCTCTCTTTCCTCTTATTATTCTGTAGTTTCCTTCTATTGATCATTTTCTCTTATGTTATTCATTGTTTTTCTTCTCTCTTTCCTCTCATTATTCTATATTTTCCTTCTATTGATCATCTTCTCTTGTGTTATTCATTGTTTTTCTTCTCTCTTTCCTCTCATTATTCTATATTTTCCTTCTATTGATCATCTTCTCTTGTGTTATTCATTGTTTTTCTTCTCTCTTTCCTCTCATTATTCTATATTTTCCTTCTATTGATCATCTTCTCTTGTGTTATTCATTGTTTTTCTTCTCTCTTTCCTATTATTATTCTATATTTTCCTTCTATTGATCATCTTCTCTTATGTTATTCATTGTTTTTCTTCTATCTCTCCTCTCATTATTCTATATTTTCCTTCTATTGATCATTTTCTCTTATGTTATTCATTGTTTTTCTTCTCTCTTTCCTCTTATTATTCTGTAGTTTCCTTCTATTGATCATCTTCTTTTATGTTATTCATTGTTTTTCTTCTCTCTTTCCTCTTATTATTCTATATTTTCCTTCTATTGATCATCTTCTCTTATGTTATTCATTGTTTTTCTTCTCTCTTTCCTCTTATTATTCTGTAGTTTCCTTCTATTGATCATTTTCTCTTATGTTATTCATTGTTTTTTTCTCTCTTTCCTCTTATTATTCTATATTTTCCTTCTATTGATCATCTTCTCTTGTGTTATTCATTGTTTTTCTTCTCTCTTTCCTCTTATTATTCTGTAGTTTCCTTCTATTGATCATCTTCTTTTATGTTATTCATTGTTTTTCTTCTCTCTTTCCTCTTATTATTCTGTATTTTCCTTCTATTGATCATCTTCTCTTATGTTATTCATTGTTTTTCTTCTATCTCTCCTCTCATTATTCTTTATTGTCCTTCTATCATCTCCTCTTATGTTTCATACATATGACACAAAGTGATATGATTACTGAACTTGAATAGCTACATGTATGCTGTAAAATCTTTTTGTTTTGTACTTGGGTGGGTTCGAATCCCGCGAAGCTGTTTTTAGCACAAGAGCTTTCATGGTGCCAGTACAATATCATTTGGTTCTATAGCATTCAACATGCACGTTTCTGATACAGATACAAATGTTGAAAGTAAAGAGGACATCTCCTCAGAATTGGCAGAGAACTCAAAGATAAACTAATTGAGTATAAGGCACTTGTTTAGAGACATAAGAGGACAATTTAGAATTGTTGTTCTGGATCCAGTTTAGAACAAGGCTTTTAATTTCTTTGTAACAATAACCTAAGTGACCACGGTATAGATCTGTTTGAAATAAGGAGCACCCAGTCCTGCAACTGCCACGCCCACCATCGGTTTGTGGGTCCACAGGATCTTCATCCCTGGTATGCTTTCCATATTGTATAATATTGTATTTATGTTTAGCATAGGCTAGGTTTAGATCATTCCTATTGTGATCAGGCCCAACAGATTTGATTGTTTTGGATAAATTATGCCCCCCCCCCCCTTCAAATTTTTTGTTAATTATAATTCACTCCTAAATCAGTGACTTATAATAGAATATATAGTTGGCCAAAAGAGTCCTAGACATCTTAATTGATGAGGAGAAACAAAGGAACAGAGTGCTGGGGATGCCATGTGTCATTCCAAATGCTGACACCAATTACACCACAAGTAACTGTTTTCTTCTCTTCATTTTATTATTCTAGGTAAGCTTATTCTCATTTATATTTTATATCTTATTATTAACTGTATATGTAATTGTTATCATTAATGTCATGTATCACCCTCTTAATATTAATATATTCCATATCAGGAATATATGGACTTTTAGGGATGAAATATGAAGATAGCTTTGTGACTGTGATGGTGCACTAAACTTAGTTCAGCGAGTACGCTAATGCTGATGTACTTTTGTGTTCAGATATATATATATATATCGCCAGGATATTGTTACTAAACAGTATAATGAATTAATGAGTTTTGCAAGTACATATAAGTGTGTACTATTTCAATGTTTTATTATCATGCGTTAGAAGGTATAGAATCAGTAGAAGAATAGGATGATTTGTATGATGTGAATGAACGTCTCATGAAATGGTAGTGTATGTGGATATATATACCCATTTCACAGCTAGTGGGTTAAACATATATGCAAGCCTGTATATTGTAGCCACTTGCATAGACTTACTGTCGTGAAGTGTAAACATGGTACCCAAGTTGTGTATAGATTAGATGTAAATAGGACCTTTGTTCTAAGAGAGGGATTTATTCGCCTCTCTGATAAGCTACATCTAAACAGTTTGGTAAATAGAGTTTCGCTCCTCCACCAGCGATAGAAGTCTAATTAGGCGCAGACCCATTTAAAAGATGTAGTTTGTTATATTATATAATAGTGCAGTTATTGATTGATTAATAATCGAAGCACACATTTAATGAGTTTGATTATATATTATTATATTGTACATGTGTATTTTGTAACCATGATACTACAATAGAGCAACGAGCTTAGTAATTTATTAGTTATGTTAGAGAAGGCAACTTCAGTGGTCTGAATTGTAGAATAATTGAGAATTAGGCAAACCCAGCAGAAGTTTCGGCAAGATGCTTTATCTCACCAGTTTGGTAGAAATCAGTTTCTCTAAAGCTCATGCATATATTCGTTTATTAAATCTTAAGTTTATTTTCAGATGATTTATACAATCATTACATGTATTTAATTGTCCTTGTGGGTTTTGAGACAACGTAAAACTGTTATACATGTAGTTGTATATTTGTAGAATGTATAGTTTTATCTTGACTTATTATGTTGCGGATGCACCAGTAATTTGGAATTGCTTGGTTCTTAAAACGAAAGGATTATATATAGTAGAATATATTCTATGCTAAACCTTTAATAGATGAACAGATATATGAGTGCATCATATAGTTACCAGAATTGCAACACGTGTATTCAAAGATGGGATACTAAGTTAACTATTAATTGAATTTGTTAGAAATGGAATTCAACCTTATATTTTACCTGTGGTATTTAAGCCACGAAAGTTTAGTTAGAATTAACTAAAACTGTATTATTGTAAGCTGTTTATATACTTAGTTAGAAGTTAGATTAGGTTTTGTTATGAGAGAAGATCTGGCTATTGCAGATCGATGTGATATAGTTTTAATGTATAAAACTGAAGCATGAACATGTGTTCATGATCGCCGTTGATATTTGATTACTCTTATTCATGATTATTCTTGCTTATTGCGATGGTATTAAGAGTAATAAAAGTAATTCTACATGCTGACACCAATTACACCACAAGTAACTGTTTTCTTCTCTTCATTTTATTATTCTAGCTCCCCTTCCCTGATAGGGGCGTTACACTATTTATGTTGTTTTGTTGTATTCTGTATTCTTTGTATTATTAAGCTATGTTTGTATTCTTTATTATGTATCATTATCATGATATGTACATGTGTTGTACTCTCATACCCCAGAAGGGGGTCGAATGAGTCAATAAATTCTATTCTATTCTATGAAACACATTTAAATTACAATTGCAGACCTTTTAGTTGCTTTCCTTGACGGTATTTTCAGACTTGGTTAAAGATTCATTAATGACATTTCAAAATTGTGATGGAATAGGGTTAGACATCTATACAATAATTTGCTGAATTGTTTGAAATATTTGCTTATTAATGCTTTTTTTAAAATGTGCAATTCACAATTCTTTTCTTTATTTCTTTCACCCCCCCCTAATCTTTCTCCATAATAGTGCTCGACCACCAGCACCAAAAAACTGAGGGTGAAGTGCAAAAAACTACCCCAACATAATGAGCATCCAATCCCGCTACTACCAGACACATCATCCGTTAGTGTGTCAGCTGGATCATCATCCCTGGTATGTAACGCATTTAAATGGCAATTGCAGCCCTTTTAGCTCCTTTCTTTGACAGGTAATGTTAGACTTGTTCAGAATTTCATCAATGTCATTTTAAAACTGTGATGGAATAGTGTTAGACATCTATACAATAATTTGCTGAATTGTCTGAAATACTTGCTTATTGGTGTTATTTTTTAAATGTGCAACTCTGTTATTATGGGTCAAATTGTTTCACAATTCATTTCTTGATGTCTTTCATCCCCCTCTCCTCTCTTTCTCCATGATAGTTCTGCAGTACCAGCGATCAAGCGGCGAGGGTAAAATTCACCCAGGAAGAGAAGGAGGCAGTCCAGAAGCTTTTCCAGAGCTGGATAGAAAAGGGTGACATGCCTCGCATAGGCGTGGTGAGGGACATAGTTAAACAAAATAAAAAAGTAGCATGTTGCCTCTCTAACCGATCATTTCTCCAAGTGAGGGACAGAGTCCGCAATGCAATAAAAGCTCAAACAAAATCTACGTCTATGTAGATCATCAACTATTTCATTCATCTTTCTTTTTTCTCAGTTGCTTTCTTAATGTAATATCCCTCACAACGCCTATGCAAGGCATGTCACCTTTTTCTATCCAGCTGTTGATATTCTAATGAAATGTTTAAGAAATGGCAGTGCACACTTGTCAGTAAGTCTGAATGTTTTGTTAAAGTAGTTTTTGTGATTCTTCTTTCTATTCTTGTTCTTTTACTTTTTACATGATGATTATGATATGCTTTTTATGAATATGAAGGTACAATTGTATCAATAAAAACCTTCAATTGTCATTAATAAAACACTTTGAGCAGGACATAGGAGAGAGTTTTGTATTATGTCCGAACTAAATATGAGTTGAGTCAAATCAAAAAATCATAATTATCTACATTGGACGTAAAAATGATTGAGTTATGGCATTTTTGAACTTTTGTACTGTTTCATGAAACAGTTATATGCATAACATGGGCTGTATTTCGATTAGTGACATGCCGCACTGTCATATGCTCGATTTTCCTTATGTGTATTATATTAAATATATATTCCTTTACACTATTAACATATTTTTAAAAAGAATACCCGTTTTACCGGTCCTAAGCTTTGGAACGATTTACCTGAAACTATGAGGAAATCTGTACTTCTATTGGAAGCTTTAAAAAATGTATAATTTTAAATTACAGTGCATAAGTATTAGCCCTATACCCGATGAGGCTGACGAGTGTGTGTGTGTATATTGTATAAGGGGATGTGTATATAACCCAATTATATTGTACTGGCACCATGAAAGCTCTCGTGTTATAAACAGCTTCGCGGGACTCGAACCCACCCAAGTAAAATAAAAAAGAGTTTACAACACACATGAACCTATATATTAAAGTTAATTAATAATAGCAGTTTGTGTCATATATATTTAAAAGAATTTGCACTTTAGGAATGCAAAAGATTAAATGTATTTTCTTAAACCGTAACGAACGTTTCACATCATTGCTTGTAATTCCAGTCCTTAATTTCAATTTCACAGTATGAAATATGAGATAAAATGCACTTGAGAGAGAACAAAAAGACAGGGAAAGTTAAAATTGAGATAGTGAGTGAAACTAATATGATGGAAAGTGGCAGTTGAGATAGAGAATGCAATAAAAGGGGGGAAATGATAATAAAGACAGAGAAAGTGGGGATGGAGATAGAAAGAGGGAACATGATGAGGGAAAGTGGAAGTAGAAGTAGTAAGGAAGAGCAGGTAGGGTAGTATGAAATATGAGATGAAATGCACTTGAGAGAGAGAGAGAGAGAGAGAGAACAAAAACACAGGGAAAGTTAAAATTGAGATAGTGAGTGAAACCAATATGATGGAAAGTGGCAGTTGAGATAGAGAATGCAATAAAAGGGGGGAAATGATAATAAAGACAGAGAAAGTGGGGATGGAGATAGAAAGAGGGAACATGATGAGGGAAAGTGGAAGTGGAAGTAGAAGTAGTAAGGAAGAGCAGGTAGGGTAGTATGAAATATGAGATGAAATGCACTTGAGAGAGAGAGAGAGAGAGAGAACAAAAACACAGGGAAAGTTGAAATTGAGATAGTGAGTGAAACCAATATGATGGAAAGTGGCAGTTGAGATAGAGAATGCAATAGAAAGGGGGGAGGGTGATAATAAAGACAGAGAACGTGGAGATGGTTATAGAAAGAGGGAACATGATGAGGGAAAGTGGAAGTAGAAGTAGTCAGGAAGAGCAGGTAGGGTGGTAGCAGAGGTAGTAATAAAAGTAAGGAAGAGCATTGTCCATTCAGGAGAGAGAAAGAAAGACAGATGAGGGAGGGTAAGAAATATTAAGATATTTAATGATTGACAGATCCGGTGAGAATGAAACAGGGAGGGGAGTGAGGGAGAATGGGTAGGGTGGTAGTAGAGGTAGTAGAAGTAGTAAGGAAGAGCAGGTAGGGTGGTAGTAGAGGTAGTAATAGAAGTAGGGAAGAGCATTGTCCATTCAGGAGAGAAAAAAAGAAAAATGAGGGAGGGGTGAGAAATATTAAGATATTTAATGATTGACAGATCTGGTGAGAATGGAAGAGGAAGGGGAGCAAGGGAGAACGGATAGTGTGGTAGTGGAGGTAGTAGAAGTAGTAAAGAAGAACAGATAGGTTGGTAGTAGAGGTGATGTCCACACGGTCATTTTACCTGATGGTCGGGTCCTTGTCCATTGCCCTTTGTTGTAGGCATACCGCCGCCCTCTTCATGTGTTCATCGCTGGTCTGCAAAGTTACAAAAGAACAAGACTATGTAATAAATACAAGTTCATTTAAAGTTCACTCAGGCATTTCAACCATTATGACAAGAAGAGAAATTGATGAACATGTTCTTTACTGTCTATTGACCACAACTTAAGCATACTATTTTAGAGTAAATTTGGGAAAAAAACAAAAATGTAATGAATAAAATACCAGGCTGGTGGCTAACCTCTTGAGATATCGATTTAAAAGTGGCTATGTGCCTGTCGTAGCTAGAGGCATTGACTGTTGGGGTTGTACCCAGGATGGTCAGCAAGTTTCTTAAGCCTTCAACTGCCAAACCACCAACCTCCGTTGGTCAGAGTAGTCCTAGGGTTTATTTCTGCAGATTTTCCAGGTCCTTTGCATGAATTTTCTGAGGAAAACAATATGAGGAAAAGTGACATTTGAGATAGAGAATGCAATATGAGGGACAATGACAATTGAGAAGGAAATGAAGACACGATAAAAGAAAGAGGAGATTGTGATAGCAAGAAGGAACACAAACAGCATGTTTCTATTAGTTTTAATGAAATTATCCGTTTCATTTGTTTTCCGGAAAATAGCATATAGTACCAGGGAATGGGCAGTTTCTATCTACGCGTATTATCCGGATAAATACACTGCTCCGATTTAGTGGGTTAAAAGGTTGTGAATAAGTTTGCATCGATCATGCCTAAGGCACCGCAAAGTAATGTGGGACTGCTAGGTCCACCTGGGATTTTAGTGGCGAGGTAAAATATTCCGATCACGTGATTACTCTGATTTCAGGTGTCACTCCGTTATATGTACTCAATCGGAACGGCGTGAGTTTCTGCTAGGCCTACTTAGCTTTGGCCTAAGTAGTAGGCTTAGGCTCCACTCATTTCTAATGAATTGACCACTAGAAACATCAAATTGGGTAGAACAAAGAATTGAAGCACAATAAGGGGGAGGGGGGGGGGGGAATTAGAAAATGTCCTATGTTTAGTGACGCTGACAACTTTTATGCACCATAACAGCAATCAGAGATCTTTTTTGAATTTTTCCTTGTATATGCTAGGTCAGGACGGCTGTTTTATGTCTTTACATTTCATGTGTAAATGTCAATGCCAACAAATGCGACATCAAAAAAATAAGGGGGGGGGGGGGTGGATCTTCAACATGTCGATGCTATACGGATGCTGAACATGAACATTCTGTATTCGCGCATTAACGTAGCCTTCATATGCCTTTTTTGAATTTTTCCTTGCAAATACTAGGACAGGAAAGCTATCTTTATTATCGTACATGTCTTTGCATTTGATATGTGAAGTGTCAATGCCAACAAATGAGAAATACAAAATATAAGGGGGGTGAATCTGAAACATGCATGCTGGTGGTGTGCAGATGCTGCGATAATCATGGACAATCAGTATTCGCACAATAATGCAACAAACCGAGGCTTATTTTTGATTTTCCCTTGCATATGCTAGGTCAGGAAATCTCTTTTTATTATCGTGCATGTCTTTGCATTCTATATGTGAACTGTCAATGCCAACAAATGAGAAATACAAAAAATAAGGGGGGTGAATCTTAAACCTGCAGGTGCTGTACTGATGCTGCGATAATCATTGACAATCAGTATTCGCACAATAATGCAACAAAACGAGGCTTATTTTTAATTTTCCCTTGCACATGCTAGGTCAGGAAAGCTCTCTTTATTATCGTGCATGTCTTTGCATTCTGTATGTGCAGTATCAATGCCAAGAAATGAGAAATACAAAAAATAAGCCTAGATCTAGAACATGCCGATACTGTACGTACCGACGTCCGAAGCTGCGATATCATGGGCATTCAGTATTAGCACAATAACACAATAAAGTGTAGTCCTACTTACCTTATGGCTTATTGCAATTATTCTTTTGGGCATCTAACAAGTAGACTAATTGATATAAGATCTATATGCTTCACAGTCAGAGTCATACCAGGCAGAGGCCTAATGCCAGGCCTGGAGTTTCGGCCGACAGCCTACCTGTGTTTAGGGGGGAGTGCTTGTTGTTCACGCAAAGTTGCATATCTCACAAAGTTGTGTACAATTTCATGACCTATCGAGAGAAAGTGGATTGATTAAAGTCTAAATTAGTATAAATGGACAGTCAGATAAATATAGGGCACAATACATTTAAAAACTCACCATTTAAATGAATAATAAGAGCTCACTGCCCGCTGGAATGAATCTACTTTTGTTTGTTTAGTTTCTACTGTTACTTTGATTCGTTTGTTATTGTGTGAAGCTCCCTCTACGTGAGAAAAGTACCAATGGCGGGAATTGATGGGAAAAATTAATTTTTGTATCACTTTTAAGGAAAAAGCATAACAATTAATAAAAAACCAATTGCAGGAAAGTAGGCCTGGATTATCAAAGATCAATTTGAGTATGGTATATTCTGTGGCTTCAATGTAAAAATGTTTTTTTAAAGAACTTTTGTAGAGCACCTATTTTTTGGCCTACACTGTACAAACCTATGGTGAATATTAGATTTTTCGTATTTCGGGGGGTATTTTTGTTTGCTAATATTTTGGTTTTATGATTAAAAAATAAGAAACGAATGAATATTTAATGTTAAAAAGGGTTTAAATGTTAAAATTAAAGCAGCCCCCAAGTCATATCTTCAAATTTCAGCCCCAAAAGACTAATTGAAAATTTGCAAAAAAGCGAATTTCGAGAAATACCGTCCTAAACTTTTTTTTTTAAATTGCTTGTAATTAATTAAATA